TTTTATATTTATTTTATTTTATCAATTTCTTACTTAATTTTCTACATCTATTTTAGGTACATGATGTAAGTAATTTGAGGGAATAGATGATAGTGATTAACTGATTTAAATATAATAGATTAATGGTGTAGCGAAGCAATATGTATTAAAATCAACAAGTTCAAAAACAAAAAGAAACACGTAACAATAAAAAAAATATTGCAAGAAATTAGTCTATCAATAACCTAACATCATGGAAATGGAGATAGAAGCTATCTTTTATTCGCCATAAAAGCAATCATTTAGTTGCCAAAACCTTCCTCATCGTCCTCAACAACTCTTTTTTTCTTCTTGGTTGGTGATAGTGTTTCATTATCACTTGTTTTCTCATCCTCCGCAGAAGCAACAAAAGTAACTTCTAAATCCTACAAGATATTTTTTAGGTAATAAGATTTTGTTGCAAAAACACAAGTGATTTAGAATATTTGAAATGCAATTGTCATTTACAAAAACCATACAAACCTTTGCAACCGGTTTCTCCCCCTTTCGAGAAGTGCTTTCAAATTTGGATGAGTCTTTTTCCCTAATAAAGCCAAAAAAAAACATTGCATAAAGTGATGACATATTCAATAAAGTTACATGAACATAATTTATAACTAACCTTTCCAGCATTTTCAGTGTCACAATCTTTTTGTATTTGCTCATCAGAAATCCATAGGCTAGTCACTATAAAATCTTCTCGTCCATGTACAATATTGTACTCATTTAGTTTTAGTTTAAAGACATATTCTTTTCCGACGAGGGTATGAACCTCTGCTGGAACGTTATCACTACCTAGTGGTTGTTTGTTAAGCAATTTGTGTGCTGAAGTGTCAAGCACTCTTTCAGCAACAATATTGAACAAAACACAACTGGTTTCTCAGTCTCGTCTTTGATTCTTATGTGTATTTTATACCTAAAGAATACATATAAAATTAGTGGCTATGAAATCTTTTACACGGTGAACTAACATTAATAAAATGATGTAAAAAGGTGAAGACATCGACTTACAACACAAGAGGAAATTCAGATTCTGCCTTGCAATTTCCACAAAAATAACCACCGTCTATGGTGGTTAGTTGTTTGTAGCAAACTTTGCATCCCTTGTAAAACCATCCCAATGAGGAAACTATGCATGTGATTGTTCCTCTAACAATTATGAAGGGAACCTAAAGTGTACACATTATTAAAAAAGATGTAGTTATTAATTTTTTTTATTAATGTATGAGAAAAAGGAAAAATTATAGAATGTTGGACAAGTTAGGATAGTACCTTCATGTCTTTATCCCAAGTAGCACATAATAGGTCATTAATCATCATCCTTTCTAGATGCATATCTTCATCACGACGCTTTTTCTCATCCGCATTTTCTATAAAGTGGACTCCATTTGCAACAGTTGTGAATCTTTCAATTAAAGAAGAGACATAGTTTATCCTTAAATTTATGAATATTTTGCTAGCGCTTGTGGTAGCAAAATAGACAACACCTGCCATTGCGAAGATATAAGCAAACATTGTTAGAAAATGTAAGCAAATTTTTAATTTGAAATGTAATATTTCATCCATGAATTAATCGATTTTATAAGTAACGAAACATACCTTGGAAAGTTTTTACCCTTGTACATGTGACAATGAGAATGACAGGTCCTGTAGCAGCTTTCATTTTCACAGTAGTGGCATCAAAATCCTCGGGCAGTTTAACCCCACAAAGCAACTGGTTGTAATCGAGCTGAAAATAATCATATTAAATAGTACAAGAATAAAATGTCTTCACAATTGTTTATTCACAAACCAATAAACATATATATTAGACAAGTAATGAACAATAGCTATGACCAACTATTGATTATACAATATACTAAATATTTAAATACTTACTAATCGGTGATAATCTCCACATCTCTTTTTTTCCAACCCACTCCAACAGTTTCAATGTGACCAACAACTTGTATACATCCAATAACGTCTATAATATATTAAGAACTTAAATCAATAGAAGTTCAATTCATAAATATAAATTTAGTAATAAAATGGAATATGCAAAGGGTTCAAAATACCTAATAAAATTGTGTCGTCATTGACACGCGAGTGCACTAAACCGGCTGAAATAAATTGGAAGCCATTTTTAGGTTTGCTCACGGTATCTTCTTCTAATTTTTTTAAGGAAGTGAATTTTTGGAAGATGATCTTGATATCATTTGCAAGAGGCCTGAAATTCCC